GTGCACCATGACACCCATCTTAGGTCAGTATTTTCATATAAGTGTTAGAATCAGCTTGTCAGGTCCCATAAAGAAGTCCAATGGAATTTTTTTTTTGGTACCGGGGATCGAACTGACGACCTTGTGCTTGCCAGGCAGGATCTTATGCTGCTGAGCTAAATCCCTGGCCCAGTCCAAAGGAATTTTGAGTGAGTGCTGTATATATCATTTTGTGGATGACTGATATCTTTTTGTTGTTGTTATTGGTGCTGGGGATTGAACTCGAGGCCCCAGGCTTGCCAGGCAGGTGCTTAAGCCACTGAGCTAAATACCCAGGCCCAAATAACTGATATCTTAATGATAAGTCTTTGGATCTAGGAAGAAGGCAGACAGATTTATTTAGGTCTCCTTTAGTTTCTCTCAGCAATGTTCATAATCTCCAGTGCAGTGCATGCACATCTTTTATCAGATTTGTAAATAAATATTTCATGACCTTTTTTGTGATTGTGGGGATTGAATTTAGGGCCCTTGCACTGAGATCTATCCCCAGGCGTTTTAACTTTTTTTTTTCATTGTGAGAGAACATCTTAATCATTAAATCATCCAGACTAGGTTTGAATTTGTGATCCTCCTGTTTCAGCCTCCCAGAGGCCTGAGATTATAGATGTGTGCCACCACTCCCACTTTTTGATCATACTATAATTGGCATTTTCTTTTATTTATTTATTTTTGAGATGGGGTCTCGCTATGCAGTTCAGGCTGGCCTTGAGCTCACTTTGTAGCCCAGGCTGGTCTTGAACTCAAAACAATCCTCCTGCCTCAGCCTCCCAAGTGCTGGGATTATAGGCGTGAGCCACCACGCCTGGCTCATAGTTGGCATTTTCATTCATTTTAATTTCTGATGTCACTGTTAGCAAAAAAGAAATTCGATTAGTTTTTGGATCCTTAACTGCACCCTCCGACCTTGCTAAACTTGCTTCATTCGCTCCAGGTGCTTTTCTCCAGGCTCCACTGGATTTCCACATAGATGATCTCATCTGGGGCTGGAACAGTTTCACTCTTTCGGTCTGGTAGCATTTTTTCCTTCTTCTCTGGCTGCAGTAGCCTGACCCCAGCACAGTGGTGAAGAGAAATGAGGAGGGCAGATAACTTTATCAGATTCCTGATCTTGGGAAAGACCAGATTTTCACCCCTGAGCATGGGGTTAGATTAGAGCTATTGATTTATTTGGGAGACAGGTCTCGCTAAGATGCCCAGGCTTGTCATGAATTTGGAATCCTCCTGCTTCAGCCTCCTGACCAATTGGGACTGTAGGCATGTTCACTTTGCCTGGCTATCTGACTTGTTTTCAAATTCTCCTGATCTACTATCATTTTGATTCCATACTTTGTTTTCTTCATGGTGCTGGGATGAGACCCAGGGCCTTGCAGAGGCTGAGAAGGTCCCCGAGCCCGGGGCTTCCCCGCAGGCTGAGGAACAGCCACCAAGCCTGATGCAGGATGAGTGGCTTCTCTTTTCCAGTGCCGGGATTCTTTGTCCTGACCCGCTGAGATGAGGCGGTTCTGTGTGACTCTGAGCATATCCCACTGGGAATGGGTTACTGGACGTGGACATTAGTGTTTGCCACCCAGGGCAGGGATTTTCAGCCATTCTTTTTGTGCATCCCTGGCTGCCCACGGCTTCTCTCCGGGCGCCCTGGTCGTGTGGTGGGCACTGTCGGGGTACCCGTGCAGGTGCCCTGGGCTGCGCTCCATTTGCTCAGTTTCCCCTCCTCACCTGGAAAACCCAGAGCATCTGTAAGGCTGCGGGTTCTCCTGCAGGTTTTCCGTGAAGTCCCCTGGTGAATTTGCCATTTGAGTTATAGTTTTGAACTCCAAAATCACTATTTCTTCCTTTATCGACTTTGTACATCCTTATCGGTATTTTTTTTTTAAACAAAAAAATAACCTTTGCTTCGATTATCCCAGCTGAGCAGCCGCACCCGTGGCCTCGGCCTGTCGCACGGACACGGCCAGCGCATGCCTTTGTTCTTCTGGCCTTTCTGTGGGACGCGCTGGACAGCCCTGTGGGCTTGCTGTTTTGTCTGAGGTTATTGTATTACACAGGGTGTAGTTAACAGGAGCATAAAATATCAGTGAAGTATTAAACATTGTTAAACTTTTTTAGTCTCTATTTTTTTGGTAGTGGTGCTTGTGCCACTGAGCTAAATCTCTGGCCTGAAGTCCTAACATTTTAAGACATTTTGTGTGTTTAGAGCAGACGTCAACATTTTCACATCAGCTGTTTGATTGCTTACAAATCTGAAACTAAAACGTGCACTTCGGGGTACGCACACAGAAGCCGAGCCCATACTCGGCCTCAGCGCTGACCCCACGGCAGGCTTCCCACGGCCTCGGTCGGTGCACGAGGATCCCTTACACTGATAGCACGCATGTGTTGTTTCCTGTCCTTTCTTGCAGGCCCTCGTGATACTTTCCTGTTTTCCACTTTCCTAGTAGGACTTTGTGACGCTGTGCCTGCCTGTCCAGCTCACCAGTGAGCTCCACAATTTTTTTGTGTCACTTTTTTTCTTCTGCTATAAATGATTTCTTATGAGTTCCAGTCCCAATCCTCTAAGACATTTTTCCATAGTATTTTGCAAACTTGTTATTTTATTTATTCATTTTTAGTTTTTGGAGACAAGGTCTTACCACGTAGTTCAGGCAGGCCTTGAACTCACCATTTGCCCAGGCTGGCCTCAAAATCATGGTGATCCTCCTGCCTCAGCCTCTCAAGTGCTGGGATTACAGGCGTGTGCCACCGTGCCTGGTTGTAAACTATCAAACTGTTTATGCTACACACTTTTAGGATTGAGTAAAACACAACCATTGGCTGGTGCTGTGCTTCAAGAGAGTGATATTATAGCTGCTGCTTAACTGATCAACTGCATCTGCTCCCTGTTCTGTGTCGTGGTTGAAAGTTTCCATATCAGGCTTCTGTTTGGTTGAGGTTTCCAGGGTTTCCCTATCAATATTTTCCCCTTGTGGTGAAATGTCCACCTCAGCAGTACTAGTCTGCTAGTCTTTGCCATATATGAGGCCAATGTTGTATCTTCTTTGAAATCCAAAGATTGCAGTATACAAAGCTATTTTGAAATGGCAGCATTTCAGTTTCCGCTTTGCTCCTGTGTACAGTTCCTGCACTGATCATCTTGTGCTCTGTTAGCAAATGTAACATCATTTGGAAGCCAGCAAACCAACTGTCAAATGTCACATTCCAATTACTTTGGAAGTTGCTGGGCAAGGTGGCAGATGCCTGTAATGCCAGTACTTGGGAGGCTGAGGCAGGAGGACTGATGTCAGTTTGAAGCCAGCGTGAGCCAGGATAGCAAGACTCTGAAAAAACCAAAACAGACAGACAAACAAATGAACAAACCAACCAGTTTGGAAGACGGGAGCCACAAGTCTGTTCCCAACGTCATTGTTTATTACTGTCCAAGTAGGAACCTGATGGCTGAGTTTGAGGATAAATGTCTAAATTGAAAGCAGAGGTCTTCGCATCTACAAGGGCATAAATTTTTATGCCATATTTTGACCCATTGCTTTTCTGTAAGTCTTTTACATTCCTGCAAGCACCATGAAAAACCTGTGCTAAGTACAGCAGGCCTGTGAATGCTTTCAGTTCATCTGGCCAGGTGTGGTAATCAACAGTTTTGCACATGGCTATTGGTGCACATGGACTCTTCCCTTGCATTTCTCTCATTATGTATTTCCCAGCTCTTGTAGGCTTCCTGGTTACAATTTGCAACACTGAATGGCACTGCTGGCATTCTGTCCTGAGACCTTCACTGTATTTTCAGACCTAGTTTTAACACTGGATGTGTCTTTGTTTGCCAGCATTTGGCAACATTTTGACAAGTCAAATGTGTACTCACACTGTTTTCTTTCTCATCTGAATCAAGGAGTCTGCATTCCGTGTGTCTGTATCTACTGATTTTTGCTCCATTTCACTGTCACGGGAGCTCTGGCTGCAAGGCCAGAATCAGAGATGACATCAGTGTCATCATCCTGCCCCCCCCCCCCAGCTCTCTTCCATGACGAAAGCAAGTGTCATCTTCAGTGTCCACTTTGGACCTCCCCCAAAACCTGCCAATCTGGTTTTTCATGTGCCAGCGTACTGACTTGGGCTGCCTGGTCTATAAAACCTCCACTCCAGGCTTCAGGTCATCCCCATCAGCCTGCTGGGTACTGTTATTCTTTTTGGTGAGACATCATACTTTCCTTCAGTTCTTTGGACATTTTTTCCTTGGCTGTTTGAACATAATTATTATGAGCAATTTAAAGTCTTTGTCCAGTTAAGTCCAAAGTCTTGGCTTCCCCAGAGAATTTTTTTGTTGATTTCCTGTCTCATGTATAGGCCATGCTTTATTTCCGGAATGTCTTAGAATTTGGGTAATAGGAATGAGACAACTTAAACAACCACAGAGCTTATTGTGACTTTGTTGTTGTTGGTTGTTATTTTTAGATAGGAGCTTGCTACATTGCCCAGGCTGGCCTTGAACTCCTCCTGCCTCAGCCTTCTGAGTAGCTGGGACTACCTTGTAGTGTGGACCGTGTTGCTATTTGTCTGTAACATTTTGTCTTTCTCTAAAGAATGGCAAATCTAGACCTAGCAGGCAGAAGCCTGAAGCAGGAAGATCCCTTGGGCCTAGGAATTTGAGACCAGTCTGCATAATATAGTGAGATCCCTACCTTAAAAGTGAAAACAAAATCAAAAGAAAACAAAAAAATAAAAGCCCCAGGGCTGGGGATTTAGTTCAGTGGCATAAGTGTCTGCCTGGCAAGCACGAGGTTGAGTTCAATCCCCAGTTCCGCAAAAAAACCCCCAAAAAACGAAAGAGTGACTTACTGATCTCCAGTGATGTTATTTTTCAATGTGGTCTCGTCTAATTACATAAGTAAATTAGACATCACTTTAGGGCCAGTCCTAAATACTACTTCTACTTCCTTAGTTTTATTGAGCACAAGGAAAGACAGACAAAATTCCTGTATGACAAGTTTTTATTTGTATCAAATTAAAGAGTATCGTAAGTAAGTTGAAGTTTATGATTTGAATATTGTAATACAATTTAACAGTTGGGAAATTACTCAATTATCCAAAGTTTATTATATGATTGAGTGCACACTGAAGAGATTATTTGGAATCACCGGGTTAGATGTGTATTTTGTATCTTATTTTGACTATCATGATTATATGTTGTTCCTTTATCTATGTGTGTATGCACGCATTTCTAAAGTTATATATAAAAAGCTAAAGATAGATGTGTTAGGATTAATTTCTTTAAAAAATCATTATATTAAATTGCATCTGCATTCAAAGCAGAAATGTAAAAAAACAGTTCAATTTACTAAATACACATGAATTTACAGAGTAATTGAAAATGAAATAAAATTTCTACGTTTCGGTTTAAATGGCATTGAAGAGGCAGTGAGAAACTACGGTTGCCGAGAGACTGCAGATCGTGGGAGCACTGGGGTGCTCTGCACGGGGACGGGGTGCTGTCCCGGGCCGGCTCCTGGCTCAGGCTCAGCGGAAGTCCGGCTTCTCGGGGAAGGTGCAGCCGCTCCGCCGGATGATCACGTTGGCCGCGTAGTGGCCGGCGCGGATGCACTCGGTCAGGGGCTTGTTGGAGACCAACTGCGACAGGAACCCTGGAACACAGGCAGAGAGACGGGGGCGGGATGTGAGAGCGCGGAACGGCAGGGGTCAGGCCGCACCGCAGGGCCAGCACCGCAGCGAGGCGCCCGCGGCGGCTCCAGCCTTCCCCTGCCATCTGTCCTCAGGAGCCCAACTGGCCTGAGCGCTTGCCGTGCAGTGTGAGGCTCTCAGGTCCTTCTAAGCCTCGCTTTCACTCTGACATTAAAGTGTGTGGGCCATGGTGATGCGTGCCTGTAAGCCTTGCCCTGGGGAGGCTGAGGCAGGAGGCTTGCATGTTGGAGCATCCTGGGCTATTCAGTGACTTCAAGGTCTGCCTGAGCTATGTGATGAGTGCCTGTCTCCACAACGAGGTCAACGACAACAAGGAAGAAAAAACAAAGTTTTTTCTTTTTGAAGCAGGGCCTCACTTTGCAGCCCAGGCTGGCCTCGAACTCACAGTGAGCCCCTGCCTCAGCCTCCTGAGTGCTGAGATTACAGGCATGCATCACCACAGCCCGCTAAAGGCCCCGGGTTTTGAGGCAGAAATGCTGGCCACAGAATATCACTTAGCGTCTTTACCGCTGCCAGGTTCTTGCTGCTGCCCCGTGTTTCCAGGGCTCTTTCTGCATTGCTGTCATTCCCAGGATACTGCTGTGTGGGCAAAACCCTGCCACCCGGGAGATGCGAACTTGCAAAGGACCTTACACCTTCCTTCCCTCCCAGAAGGTGCGGGGAGATGATTTCTAAGGTCAAGCGCCAAGGACCAGCTTGGCATTTCTTTTCTTTCTTTTTTTTTTTTTTTTTTTTTTTTTTGTCTTTTTCCTTTTTATCGGTACCGGGGATCGAACTCACGACTGCCTGCTTGCAAGGCAGGAGCTTATGCCGCTGAGCTAAATCCCCAGCCCCACAGCTTGGCATTTCAATGATGGGGTAAAACGGAAGGCTTTTGACCAGGAGGGAATAAAAGGAACCAGATTTCCTCTTCCTTCACCGGATCTTAGCCGAGAAGCGATACTCTTCCTTCAGAAAAAACTGAAGTGAACACAAAATATATGAAGCCAAGCTGCTTGGAATATTGCGTAGGAGCCGCACAGGAGGAGGGAGCAGTGGAGTTAAAGCAGATGGTGTCACCAGGCCAGGGCCTTCCCGAGCGCTGGAGCCGAGCTGAGCAGGCCCAGGTGAAAGTATCGATCTCTCCAGGGCCAGGGCTCGGTCACAGCGTGGGGAAGGGGGTCAGCTTGGGGCAACAGAGGCAGAGACACACACCCTGCTCTTTCGGATAAGCCGCAAAGCCCGCAGCTACCGTAGTGATGTGCTCATTCTGTAGTTTAAAGTTTCCGGTACACAGAATTGCACATCCCCTGGTATCACTGGTGTATTCTACTTTTTTTAATACCAATCCTATACACACTCCTCTGAAGGAAGGGAATCCGTCTCATTCTGGTTTGTTTTTGAGACACGGTCTCACTATGCAGTTCTGCCTGACCTTGAACCCATTATGCAGCCCAGGCTGGTCTCTGACTCACTGCGATTCTCCTGCCTCAGCCTCCCGAGTGCTGGCATCATAGGTTTGTGCCACCTTGCCTGGCGCATCTCATTTTCTGAGGCTAGCATTAGTCTGATAACCAAACCAGAAAACTACAAACCAATATTCCTTATGAACACAGTTACAAAGATGACAGCTTTAGCAAATCATAGCCAACAATACATTTCACATTAACATTTATCAGGTAAATAAGAAAAATTATGGTTTCCTTTTCTTTTTGTTTTTCTTTTTTTTTTTTTTGAGACAGAGTCTCTCTATGTGGTCCAAACTAGCGCTAAACTTGCTTATGTAGCCCAGGTTGGTCTCAAAGTGGCAGTGATCCTCCTGCCTCAGCCTTCCGAGTGCTGAGATTACAGGAGATCATCTTAATACAGGCAAAAATCCCATTTGACAAAGATCCAGCTGGGCCGTGGCTCATGCCTATAATCTCAGCGCTTGGGAGGCTGAGGCAGGAGGCCACTGAGTTCAAGGCTAATTTAGGTCTCATAGTGAGTTCAAGGCCAGCCTACGCTACATATTGAGACTTTGTCTCAAAACAAAAACAAAAACAAAAATTCATGGTATATTTTGACCACCCTGTATGATTCATTTCAAGTGAATTTTTGTAAAAGGTATAAAGACAAAGGTTGAAGTGGATTTTCACACATGGCATCCAGTTGTCCTGGTACAGTGTTTAAAGATGAAGCTTTCTCCATTGAATTGTGTTGGCACTTTTGTCAAAAACCAGTTGAGTTCTCGGAAGTAGATTTATTCTGGACTTTCAGTCCCAATGATCAGTCTGCCTATCTTTTTTTTGTCCCAGGTATTGAACTTAGGACCTCACGCTTGCCAGGCGCCTGCCACTGAGCTACGTCACTGGCCAGTCTGCCTTTGTGCGGTTCAACCTTGCAGTGTCGTGATTGCTCAGTTTGATAAATTTTGGAAACAAGCTGTGTTAACAAAAACAAAACAAGCTCCTATGCCTCTTTCCCTCAGTCCCTGGTAGCTACCATTCTGCTATTTGCTGTAAGAACTGCCCTACTGAGGGACCTCACATAAGAGATCATACCACGCTTGTCTTTTTTGTCTGGTTTATTTCATTTAACATAATGCTCCCCATTATAAGATTAAATGTAAAGCTGGGTGGGGTGGCACATGCCTGTAATTCAGCACTTGGGAGGCTGAGGCAGGAGGATGCCTGAGAGTTTGAGACCAGCCTGGGCTACAAAGTGAGCTCCAGGCCAGTCTGAACTGCATAGCGAGACCCGGTTTCAAAAAGACACACACACACACACACACACACACACACACACACACACACAGAGATTAAATTTAAATTTCCAATTATTAGCCTGCTGAACGTATTTTTTTTTTGTCTTTTTCATTTTTATTGGTGCCAGAGATCGAACTCACAACCACCTGCTTGCAAGGCAGGTGCTTATGCCGCTGAGCTAAATTCCCAGCCCCCTAACGTATGTTTTTAAAGACATTCTTATTTGGGAAGCATTTCAAAATCAGACAAATGTAATAGGAAAAAAATGGTGTAAGACACACTTGTGACTCCTTTATCCAGGTAACATTAGTTATTGTTAACATGTTTTACTTCATTTGCTGCATTCTCTTACACAACTGTTTCCCTCTCAGCTGCTTCAGAACCATCCGTCCATCCGTCCATCCGTCCATCTGATGGCTCTCACCCGAGTCCCTCTGTGCATGCCGGAGGAGGAGGAGGAGGAGATTCCCTTACACAGCGGGGCCCAGTGTCGGCATCAGTAACCCCGTCTACCCCGATTCTGTCAGTCACCCGCCGATGTACTAGACAGTAATCTCTCCTCTACTATAGAATCTAGTCTGCTAGGATTTAATGCTTAGGTCCTTTTGGTCTCTTTTCAATTTGGAACATTTCCTCAATTCCTTTATTAGTTTTTGTTTTGTTTTTGAGACAGGGACATTTTATGTAGTCCAGACTGGCCTTCAACTCACGATGTAGCTGAGGTTGGTTTTGAACTTGTGGTGATCCTCCTGTCTCAGCCTCCCACATGCTGAGGCTGCAGGTGTGCTCTGCCTATGACAAGGACATTTTTTTTTCTGTTACCAAAAACTCATGACCTTGTGCCTGCCAGGCAGGCGCTGTGCCACTGAGCTACGTCCTCAGTCTGACATGGACACTTTTGAAGAACAGTCATCTCTTATCCAATTTTAATAAAGTCATTCTCATTTTGGGTTTGTAGTATTTCATGATTAAGTCTAGACTATACCTTCTTGGCCAGAATATTATGTAAATAATTATAATATTTAATAATATAATTTAATAATTACAATCATTATTATTTAGGTATTTTATAATGAAGTACATTCCCGTCATTTATATATATTTTTTTGATTTTGTGGCAGGGTTCCCTAGGTTACTAAGTGGCCAGGGCTGGGCTTTAACTTGGGATCCTCCTGCCTCAGCCTCCCAGAGTGCTGGGATAACAGATATATACAGAAACTATTCTGTGTTGTTCTCAGGCTATGACATTTACAGGCACATCTTGTCCATTTGCTGTTCGCTGGTGACATTAATTCTGATGCTCAAGATGCTGTCCCACTTCTCCATTTGTACAGAATTTTTTCCTTTGCATTTAAAAGCAGGCTGTGGATAATAACACTTTAAAATATGCAAATATTCTGCTCCTCATCAAAAATCCTTATCCCTGGCACCAGGGACATAGAGCTGGTGCCATGTGCAAGGCCCTGGGCTCAGTTCCTAGCCACACACATACACACACACACACACACACACACACACACACACGCACGCACGCACACACACATGCCCTATCCCCTCAGATTAGCATTCTTTAGTGATCTGTGTTGTGTGTGTACTTGTGGGAGGGCACCAGAGGTCAAACTCGGGGTCATCACACCAACTACATCCCCAGGTCTTCTTGATAATCAATAGGTTGCGCAGGCTGAGCCTGAGTCTGGGATCCTCCTGCCTTGGCCTCTCAGAGTGCCGGGATCACTGCATCATCATGCCCAGGTCCTTCCCTGATTCTTCACGGAAGCAGCCTGTGCGGCAGGCATCCCCAGTCCTAGAACACACTTACTGGTTGGCCCTGGCATCCTACTGTAAGGAGTGGACTGCCCTTTCTCCTACTTGTTATTTTAATATGCATTTATTATAAATAAAGACGCACAGATTACTTTGTATCAATGGTTTATCACTCTTTGCAGGTCTTACGTACCTCTCCTGTCCCAGTATTTCCCAGTGGAGCCCCTTCAGGCTGGCTCGCATGTCTTTGGACCTGCTTTACCTTATTGTTTTTTATTGTTTGGTTCTTTGGAGATAGGGTCTCTCTACATGGTTCAGGCTGGCTCAGTGTGGCCTCAAATTTGAGGCAATCCTCCTGCCTCAGCCTCTTGAGTGCTGGGGTTACAGCTATATGCCACCATGCCTGTCTGCTTCCACTTTTGTTCTGGGCATTCTTTACCTTCTGACACCAT